GAGAGAGGGGGGGGGATGAAGACATCCTGTTAGACGTCTGAAATCTCATCAAAGCTTCAGTCAGACACTGCTCAGCTTGACCATTGTGTCCATTTTGTCATGCCAGGTGCAAACACACTCACATTAACCAAATCTCAGCAGTGTCTGAAAAAAGATCTAAAAGAAAAAGAAGACTTCAGATGTGAGAGAAAGTGCAAGTGTGATAATTACAAACATGAAAGATGTGTTGGATAAGCTGGTGCTGTGCTTCGAAGAAAGATTTTCTGGCACATCAGAAGATAAAGTTTTGAAGAGTGCAGGGGCATTTGACTGGACAAATGTGCCTGGAACTGACAAAATGGATGAGTTGAAAGAATATGGTGAGGCACAGATGGATGACTTGATAGCTCATTATGAGACTGTGCTTCAACACCAAGGATGCTCAACACTGAAAGTAAAGACAGTGTGGCTCATGTTTCTCCTCGAAAGTCAGGACTTATTACCTCTGAGTGAGAACAAGACAAGTTCAGTCTTGAAAAAAGCAAAGAAATTTCCCAATCTGTCTCATTTGGCTCATACAATCCCTGTTTTCTTTGAAGAGGCGTATCCTTGGTGACTGAAGGCATTTGCTTTTCAGAGATATGCTTGCAAAGATCATGCTTATATAATACGTCCCAATGGTCCTGGGATCAAACAATTCAACCCAGAACCCTGCATTGCCAAGTGGCAAGAGATATGTCTCACAAATAGACGCCATGATAATACAGCAGAGCAGCACTATTCCCTGAAATCATATTCTCTGGTGATATTTTTTAAAATCACTTGTGTTTTCCCATAAGGGACAAACAGTAAGCCAGTCTTTTTCTATATTGTGTGTGCCAACATATTTTCAATATTCTGATCATCTAGATATAGCAATTTACTTAGTTTTCATTAATGATTTTACCATTTTCCGATAACTCTATACTTTTGTTGAAAGCAAGAATAAATTGTATTGTTATTTATATAAACGTTGTGATGCACGATCCAGTATTACCAACTTTAATCAACAAAATTATCACCTATAATTTTTGCCTTGGTGCCTTAGAAAATTGCCTCGGTGCCCTCTGATTTTTACGCCCCACCGAGGCAATTTTTGCCTGCCCTCCTGAACACCTAATTCAAGCCCTGATTATGTTCTCTTTTTCTCTGTCTCGGCTCTCTCTGTCTCGCTGTCTCTTCTCCCTCTCTGTCTCTCTCTTTCAATGTGTCTATCTGTTCTGTCATGTCTCTCTTTCTCTTTCTCTCTCTCTCTCTCTCTCTCTCTCTCTCTCTCTCTCTCTCTCTCTCTCT